GCAATGAATGAGATTTTTAAGTTAGACTCAGATCTTCTGACTCAGCTCTCCTGTTCCATTTCACCATTATGTCTATTCAGTGTGATGAATGTATGTGCAACATGGTATGGGGGTCAAGTGTAGCAGAGAGAGACTCTGTATCTGGAGAGGTCTGGGAAGGCTTCATGAAGAAAAATCTTATAAATGGGGCTGTGAAAGGGAAGCAAGAGTTTTCAGGTGGAGTATGAGGGACATTTCAGATCAATATCTGATGAAAAGCAGAGAGGGATGAAAATGGATAGCCTGCTCTACGTGGCAGGGAGCAGAGGAGTCCAGATGGGGAGGTTGGGTCATACCATGAAAGATTTTCAGTGCCATTTTTAGGCAGTTGGGCAGTCCCTGAAAGCAAAGGATTGAAACAGTCAAATCTGGGTTTTCAAAAGAAAATTAAAGTGGCAGATTGGTGGATGAACTGGAGCATGAAGAAACAAGTTAGGAGGGTTTTTTTTGTTTGTTTTTTTGGTGATCGTGCAAGCAAGATAAGTGTCTGCATGAGGATACTGGAAATGCAAAGGGCTGATTTAAAAATGTTTGTGTGAGTAAGACTCACTTCTGGGGAGGTGTATGAGGGAGAAGTAAAGATTATTTTTAAAAATTTCTAGCTTATATGACTTGGTAGATGATTATCTCAACCAAACTGAAGAATACAGAAACATGATTTCAGAAGGGAATTGGAAGTAGGGGTTTTCTTGTAGCAAAGATAAAGCACCTTCTGCTTCATCTTTCAGAAATGCTTGGTTTGAGGTGCATGTTTGCAACATCCAGGGGGATATGTCAAGCAGGTAGCTGAAAATATGGGCCTAGACTTTGAAAGCAAGGTTGACTGGAGATCTAAATTTTGGAGTCATTAAAATACATTAAAATACAAATTGTATTTAGCCACCTGGGTGGCTCAGTTGGTTAAGCGTCTGCCTTTGGCTCAGGTCATGATCCCAGGGTCCTGGGATCAAGCCCTGCATCAGGCTCCCTGCTCAGCGGAGAGTCTGCTTCTCCCTCTACCCTTCTCCCCTGCTTGTGATCTCTCTCTCTCTCTCTAATAAATAAAATCTTAAAAAAAAAAGAAAAGAAAAAAATAAAATACAAATTATATTAAAATTCTTATGCAAAAGAGGCACAAAGGAACTTTTTTGAGGTGATGGAAATTTCTATTTCACAATTATGATAGGTTACAAGGGCATACATGTCTCCAAACAGATCAGACTATACACTTAAAATGAGTGCTTTTTTTTTTTATCTTAAATCCCTTAAAAAGCACTAAAAATAAAAGTGAACTGCCTTGTATGACACAGTAAGTTCTAAACAAATTGTCTTTAAAAATTGTTAATCAGGGGCCCCTGGGTGGCTCCATTGGTTAAGTGTCTGCCTTTGGCTCAGGTCATGATCTCGGGGTCCTGGTATTGAGCCCCGAGTCCGGCTCCCTGCTTCTCCCTCTCCCTCTGCCTCTCCCCCCCACTCATGCTCTCTCTCAAATAAATAAATAAATAAAATCTTTAAAAAGTTATTAATCAATTGTTTTAGGAAAAAAAAGAGAATGGAAAATTGTTCTACACATATTAGTTAAAAACAAGTGATTGGCAGCAGAGAAAGCTGCCATAGCTTTGGCTGTTCCAGAAACCAGTGCTTGATGTGCCAGTTTATGGGCCATTGGGGAGTTCTCCATTCAAAACCATATTCCCTCCCTAAACCACCCTCCTCCATCGCCAACCCACCCTACTACCACCTGGGGTGACTTCCCCATTTGGAGTAGCTGAGACAATAAAGGTACTTGAAGAATATAATATGACATTGCTGAACAAGAAATCTGTCCTTATTGATTGATTTTAGGCTTATGGCCAATTTGGCTTCCTCATTTGGCACCATTCTCTCAGCATCACTTCTGAATTGTCCTTTCAGTGCTCAGCTTAAAATTTACTTTGTACAAAATACCCATTTTTAATTCAGTAGAACGAGGGGAAGTCTGACACCTATATTCATCTACCAGTGTGGACACATCCACCATGAGTATACAATCACCAAATCTGTATATTTATGTTGGAATCTCAGTTTTGTTATATGCTAAGTCTTTGAGACCTTGAAGAAAATGAGGAAAATGAAATCCACTTTGCAGGGTGGTAGGAATTAGGTCAGATAGCATATGTGAAAGTGCTGAGTATGGTGTTGAGTAGATGCTCAATAAAAGGCAGATGTCTTGTCAAGCCTGACTATACTTTCTCAATTATCATAAATTTCTTGAAAGCACTCTATAACCCACCCTAACTAATACATCCTCAGTAGACCTTGGGGAATGATGTTTAGGAAGCTGGCAGGTCAAGGATAAAGCTGAAAAAGATTTACACAATAAATCATAGATGAGACCATTCTGTGAGATGGGAAGAAAGGAACTTGATTCCGAGGTGGTGGCAAAGGTCCTTCTTCACATTTCCTCTTCCCATTCATTTAAATTTGTATCTTGCCAAAAAGAGGGGACAGAAGGTCTCATCTTGATGAGCGGAGCTGCGAGACTATGTGCCAATACACCTGGTCTTGATTCATGCCAGCTGGGAGAGGAGCTTGGCTTCTCAGTGTTTTACTACTGTGGTTTCCTGGGCTGGGCAGCTGGGTGCCTAATAATGATAAAAACCATAATAATACTTCATAATTATGCACTGCCCTTTGCCAGAACTTGGATTTAATTATAATGACTATGACAGAACTGGCAACATCTTGCTCCCTGTTGGGGTGCAATACCCAAGGGCCTGGAAATACAAAGTGAAGTGGCAACTGCAACCTTCTCCTGCAGGGCCTATCCTGGCAATTTACCCAGAATGCTCTGGGTTTAAAGCTCATCATCAGAAACAAAGAGTACTTTTAAATTGCCCACATGCACTTGGCACTGTCAAGTAAAACAGTGTTTATGAAGCAACTACTGCCACTCACAGGCACATCATCATGGAAGCCCAGGCCTGGAGGATACCAAAGGAGGTGACCTCATTCATAACCCCACCCCTGCTACTACACTCTAGTAGCTAAGTTCACTGACCTTCCCATTCTGATTTGGGCTGGAGATGCTTTTGTGGCAGCCTGATTCAGGTGTCAGGGAATTCACCATTTAACACTCATTTTGTGCACACCTATTCTGAGCCAAGGCACTGTGGAGGCACAAAGATGTATAAGGTACGATCCCTGCCCTCAAAGTAGCTTATCTTCTAGTTGAGGGATTCATATTCAGGCAGCTGTAATATAGAGGGAAGTCATGGCAGATGAACGGGAATGAAATTAAGACTCCAGGTGAAAGGCTCAGGGCCACTCCCTCTTCGAGAATAAAAAGAAAGGATGAGAAGATATGGGGTGAGGGTGGGGAGGATTTGAGGTGAAGATAGGCAACAATTTAGGTTTTTACAGGTTTCCCTGGTTGTTGTTGCTGGTGGTGGTGGTGGTGGTTTTTTTTTAGCTTCATATCACTTATGACCCCCTGAGTTATGTTGTTCATTTATTAGTTTACTCATATACTGTTTCTCTCACCCCATTCTGGAACATTGTCACTTTGGTTCACCACTGTATCCTGAGCTCTCAAATAATGCCCGGAACATAGTACAGTGCTCAGTGGCTTAATGAATAAGTGACCCAGGTGAGGCAGTGGATGTAGAAATGGAGAAGAAAGGGCATCTAGTAAATATAACCAACAAGACAAAGTTAGAAAGGGTAAGGGAGGAATTTACAGCAGTGAGGGAGAAGCATGGAGGTTTACACCCAGGTTCCTGGTTCTGGATTTGGGTGATTGGATGGTGACATTATCAAAGAAGATAAGGAACAGAGGAGAAAGAATAAGTTTTGTGGACTTCTGAGCGTATTTGAGTTCTGATTTGGATAGGTGATAATGAGGTTCAAGTGCAGATGTCCAAAAACACTTACATATGCAGATCTGGACCTCATTAAAGGTACACTCAGCCACTAAAGTGGTTAGATCCCGTAGTGTGCGGTAGAATGACTATGTACCTACTGAAGAGAGGACTGGGGATCAGCTCTTGGGACTCTCTTAACGAGCCAACAGATAACAGATTTAGTAAGATTAACAATCTGAGGATTTATAGTCTCAGGGAAACTGGGTGAGGGGTGCACCGGACAGGAGAAAAAGCTTAAAGAGGGATGTAGTCCATCAAGTTTACTGCAATAGAGATCAAATAAGAACTAAAAAGTGACCCTTGAACTTGGTCACATGGCTGTCACCTGTAGCCTTAAGAGGAGCACTTTCAGTGTACTAGTAGGGAGTTTAATTTAGCCTGTACTTGAAGTATGAATTGAAATACAGATGAGCGCTAGGCAGGGGTTCACGGGCAAGTTGTTTTTTGTTTTGTTTTGTTTTGTTTTTGTTTAGGTTTGGAAGCGTTGGAATTGGAACATGATCATGGTATGTCCAACAGAGAAGTGGCCAGTGAATGACGACACAGTTTCTAAAACGCCAGATGTAAAGAGTCCTGCTGGCGTCACAATGCCTCAACTATGCTTTTACCCTTTCAGCCATTTCTAGGGCGGGGGCCCTTCCACATAAAGTGCAGGCAAAAAGTGGAGGACAATCACCCCTCCATCAGATCTGTGAGTCACGTTTGTGACAGCAGGGAGTAGCGATGGGACTACTTGAATTAAATGAAGTGCCCAGTTTCCCGTGCATCTTGGAATTTAGTGACTGGGTGGTTCCATGCTGGAGGGAGCTAGGGAGACTCATTCACATTTTCCGACCCGGCACTCACACCCTCCATTCATCATTTTTCCTTTCCTTTTCCCTAACAGAGTTGAAACCAGGGACAAAGCTTTCTTCCTTCTCCCACCTCAGGTTGACCTTCCGCCCCCAAGCCCACCGCCGGCCCTTCTCCGACCACGTGACCCCCCCTCAGCCCCCGTGACTCGCCGCCTCCGACCCCTCCCCTCCGGCTACAGCCCGCTTTGCCCCGCCCCTCCATCCCACGTGACAGCCTCTTTCCTACCTGACTGGCTCCTCCCTTTCCCCCGGGCCGGACCCGGCCGCCGTCTCAGCTGCCCGACTCCAAAATGGCAGCCGCGCACAGCGCGCACCCGAGCGGCCGGACCTCCCTGACTCCCGGGCCAGCCCCCTGTCGCTCCCTGTCTCCCTCCTTCGGCCTTCACCTACACGCCTCCGGATTGGCCGCTAGGAATCCCGCCCCTCCAGAGCCCCGCCTGCTATTGGTCACGGTAGGCTGCCCTTCAGAGAGGCGTGCCCCCGCCGCCCCCCGCCCCGGGAGGTATTTTCCATTCCGGTGGGGGCTGGGGGGAGGGGGGAGGGGAAAGGGTGAAGGGGGGAGGCGGCCGGGGAAGGGGGTGGGGGCCTGGCGGGGGCATCCGGCAGAGCTGGGGTCCCCGGGCTCCGTCCAGAGGAAACGGGACTGCTCTCGATCGGGCAGTCGGAGGGGACGGGACGGGACTGGCGGGCGAGCGGGAGGACTCGCCCTCTCGGTGACTGCGACGTCCGGGCCCGTCCGCCTGGCCGCAGGTGCCCGTGGATGAGGCCGCCCCGCGCGCCCCGACCGGTGAGTGTCCTCGCGGCCCGCGCCCGGCCCGGCCAGCGCCCGTTCCCGGGCCCCCGCGCCGCCGTTAGTGGCCGCCTGCCGGGCCTCCAGTGTCCGCGCCCGGCGCAGTCCGCCTCCAGCCGGCGCCTCCACACCCGGGGCAGGGGCAGCGCCGGCCCTTGGGCCGGGAGGAGACGGCGGGCGGGGGACGGCGAGTCCGGGCCGCGAGCCCAGGGCAGACCGCGCTGCGCGTAGTGGGGGCTTGCGCTTAGTAGGCTCTCGATGCATTTCGGAGGAATTATTTTTCTGATTGGAGGGAGGTGGAGCGCCTAAGGGGAAGGGGGTCGTCCGGAGCCGGTAGGAGGGCGTTCGTGATAGGGGTCGGAGGGAGGCCACCGGAGACTGTGGGGGGCAGTTAACGCGCGCTGCGGGGAAGGGGCCAACCGGCCAAGTCACTTGGGATCTAAGGCTCCGTTCCGGGGGTCTTCAAGGTCGACGAGAAGCGGTCCACTGGGAGATGAGAGAACTGGGGAGCTTGGATGGGGAAGTGACCGGAGCACCTCCGGGGGTTTAACCCGAGGTGGAAAGGGATGCGCAGGCGGCCGCTGGAAGACCCTTCTGCAACTACTCGGACTCCTACGATTCTTTGGTGCTGGGCTTTGGGCATTCAAGTAGCCGAAGCGAACTGACTTTCTGGGAGAGGGAGTTGCATTTAAAGAAGGATGCTAAGAAGCAGTTTAAGTACACATGTCGGTTTGGTTCCGAACTTTGAAAGGCTGGGGGATTGGATTCACGAGGTGATTTTTGACATTTTATTTTGGCATTCCAACCAAGAGGAGGCTTGCTGCTGGAACTTGTCAGTTCTCCTTTATTTTAAAATGTATGTACATGTTTGATGGTGTTTTACCAGTTACTAGTTTTGCTGGAAGTGCTCATAACTGTACCTTTAAATTCTTGTAGCCGCCTCTACATCTGCTGAATATCCTTTCTTCAGGTCTTTCAGTCTATAGCTGTGGCTTACTTCTTCCTGACTTAACATTTAGAGTGGACTGACTGTGCTATTAGAATTTGCTACTTACTTTTAGTCTACAAGATTATTAAGTAATTCGCATGCTTTCTTTCCCTTGCTTTTAATTGTTTCTTTACAAGGTCAACTTTAAGTATTGTACTGGGAAGATGCTGGTAAGGTAGCAGCTCTATCTAGAAAGCAAGACTAAAATCAGGTTGAGCTTTCTAACAGTTGAATTATTAATGTCAGATGCTTAGTTTAATTTCAATAATTTGTATTTGCATAACACTCTTGAGACTGGGTTAGGAACACAGAAAATGCATACCAGGGTCAGGCGGTGGCAGTCCACAGATTCTACCTCTAGCACCCCTTTGAGGTTCTTCATGGCACTGAGAAGAGGAAGCTAAGAATTACACAGCTAGATCTTTTCCTCTTTTAAATATTTTCTTAATCATATGTATATTATCTTACTAATTCCTTACAATTTAAAAAAGGAAGGCCTCTTTTTTTTAGGGAGTACTTAAAACATACTTGAGAAAATTTGTAGATGATATGTTGCATTGTAATGTAATTCATCAGAGAAAAATGTTCTGCAAAAAAGTACTAATATTTTAATTTGGCACCTTTTTAGTTTTTCAATAACTGATGGATAATTACATTTTTTTCTCCCTATTGTCCTTGAATTTTACTATTTGTCCTTAGGGAGAATGTACTGACACACAAAATGGTAACCTAAATATTGAAACCTAACACCTTTTAGCATTATAACTTCTACATTATTCACCTTGAGACTCATCTATGGTAAACTAGTGGTCCTGAAGGCTTTCCCTTATCACCTTAGTTAAGAATGGGCAGTTTCCTCCTTTTGTAGAACCATGGAAAAATAATGTTTAATGCCTGCAAATTGATGATAATAACTAAATAGAATGAGAATGAGAAGCTTGGAAAAAAGATGTATGTACAAGAGTCACATTTGTTTTAGAGCTGGGAGAGTAGGCCATGGAGATGATTATTTTGCAGATCAGGAAACCAATGCCCAGCGCAGTGGAAGGGACTAAATTGCTAGTTAGTGACAGAGCCAGGATCGGTGGGCAGGTCTCTGGACTCTAGTCCAGGGTTTTTCTACATTATCACATTCACATTGTTTATTACCAAAGAGTTGCAGTGCCAACTATAAATGGTTTTTGGATTTTTTGTGATGTTGTTCACTTCTAAGGATGGGGAAGTTTGAGTTGACTACATTTATACATGAAATGATGTAAAACTGGATGAGCTTTTATTGAGAAGTTTTAAACAATATGCTTCATTGTTAGTGGAAGTGCTGATATTTCTCTCTCATTGGGAAGAGACAAACTGTCATGTCATCTAGATTAAAATATTAGATGAGCTTAGGGCAGGCTACTGTTCTGTCATTTTTATGCTAAAAATTAATTGCTTACAAGATCTTCAGAATCCAAAGGCTCCTGTACTTTCAAAGTAAATTATATGAAAATTATTATTCTCAGTAAGTGTGGGAGTTTTGTTATGTTAACATGGGTTATAGTACCTTTAAAAATAAGAGCGATAGAATTACATGATAATTATGAAAACATAATTTCTATCATAGTTGTAATAGAGACCAACTGACTTTATATCTCAGACACTTAATAAGATTATGATGTCTGGCAAGTGATTTAACCACTGTGTACTTTAGGTTTCCTCATCTGTAGAGTGAGGGTAATAAAAGTACCTACCTCATAGGAGAGTGGTGAGGATTCAAAGTGTTTCTTTCCTTAGCACACAGTAAGGGTGCAACAGATATTGGACACTATTCTTTATGGCTTGTTAGGTGTATACAGACACTTGTGTGCCCATTTGTTTCTCTGCTATTAATGAAGTCACTTTGAGGCTACAAAAAATTCCTAGATAAATACATGATCACATAATAGCCTGTCTTACCAGGCTCTTAGTGCAGATGATGCCTTCATGTTTGTTTGTTTTTTGGTTTCTCCTTCCTCGGCTCATCTTGGACTTTTAATTAGGTATGCATATCAAGTTAGAGCAAGTGAGTCTATTTTTCTCAATGTCATCTGGAGACCCTTGTTGCAATGACATTATTCTAGAATCAAAATGCCAGTAATTGATTTGCAGGTATCCTAGTGAAAATGCAGTGAGTTCCAAAGGCTTACTGGGTAAGCTTAGGTGAGGAAATCAGGAATTTATAAGATCTATTTTTCATTACAGTCCCTTTCTGTCAATGAAGCCATGAGAAAATCCTTGAACCTTGTTTTCTATTAAGTGAATGTTTTGATGACTTCATTCATTATACTGTTAGGTTTTAGTGATAAAATTTGTGTAATTCCAATTTTGTAACATTCTGTTCTTTTTACTTTGCTGTAACCCAGGTCTAATTAGTGTTACGCACATGTGGTTTAGCAAATGTTTTTTAAATGACCGTGGTGGACTTTTCCTGCATATTCTTTGGTTCTGCCTTATCAGGTTCTTCTATTGCTTTTATAACAGCTCTTTGGCTTGTAGTCCCCTTAACTTTGGTTCTCATGCACCTTTACCTACTGTCACAAACATTTACCTACTGTCACAACATGTAACTTCTGTCATACATGAGCATACTTTTTTATGCCTCTTTTTAAACATTAATTTCAATTATTTAAAAAATGTATATCACATATTTTTAATTGCCCTTATTTTTAGAGTTTCATTGAATTGAGTCCATTTTACAGGTTAGAGATTAAAATCAGAAACAAGAGTAGCTCAAAAGCATTTTTATTATGTTAGTAGTAGATTCGTGCTATTTTGTTTCAGATCTCAGGCAGGCATTCTTTTGGTAGGTACTTCAGGTGATAAATACATGGGTCATCCCTTTAATCTGAAGTAAGCATTACATGGAGCTATCAGAAGCTTTCAGGATCATATTTTTCTTCCACTGACACAGAATTTTAGTGTTTGAGAGTGACCAACTCCTAATCTTCTTTTGATTAACTATATTATAAGGATTATGAAATTATTACAATTTATTGGACATTTTTGGAATCATGAAATGCCTTTAGGAATTTTGTAGAACTTAGACATGCAGATCTTTTCTTTCAATCAATTACATAATCTAATTATGTGAATAAAATATTTAAGTATGGTTTCAAGAGGCATTAGAAATACCATGTTATAATAAAATATAACCAGTTATTACTCAATTATTCATTAAGTTGCAATTTTTTATATGTTTAAAAATAATTATGGTGTTGTGAATTGCCAGTTATTCATATTTAAAATTCATGGATACAAGGACTGAGTAGGTATGGACCATGCAAACTACTTTCTTAGCTTCAATGTAGATGTTAGAGAATGACTGAAGGAAAATATGAATCATTTTCCTTACTTAATAAATTATTTTTCTGAGTTAGCCAACTGTCTTACTTTTTAGTGGGTAATGGAGAGAGGGCTTTTGAATCTGGTAATCTTGACTGGTAACTGGCTGGACTGTTGATTCATGTTAATGTTGGGTAAATTTACATCTGAGTAGTTTAACTGAGAATTAGTTACCTGTCTTTATTGTACATATAGGTGAAAAATCCTAAGGAATGATTTGAGAGAGACCATAATCATAATGACACTTATTGCCAAGTACAGTAGAGTAGGTTTTTCTCTAAAAAGTCCATAAGCCTTTTGCTCATGTGATGTTAAACACCAAAATTAAATTTACCTTTGCTTTGATGAGATTTCATACAATAATCTTTTATCAAAGCTAGTAATAAGCAGTGAGGAAGGTAATTTTGAAAAAAAAGATTTTGAAATAGGCTTATTGCTCTGGGATTATCTTCAAATTACGACTTCCTTATTTTATTTGAAGACTTCTGTAATAGGAATAATATCCAGTCTTTCTATTCTGGGCAAGATTCTTCAGTTAGAGGTGGTAATCAAGTATTGATACACTGTATTTCAAGTAATTAAAAAGGACAGAAGCTTACTTAAATAATGTATATGTACTTAAAATGGAACATGAAAGGTAGAATGATGAAACAGGAATGATTTGGGAACTGAACTACAAGCCTTCATATATAGTGGGTAGTCAGATAAAGGGGAGTGAAGAATTGGAAGTTGGAAAAAAGAGAAATGTGGAGGAAAACCAGGATTTTATAAGAGTTTAGCCCTAACGTAGACCCTGGGTTCTGCAGATTAGTTTCTTTGTATAAGGAAAATAGGTGAAATATTCCAAAGCTGAAAAATAAACTTAACATTAAATAAAATATATTGGAAGAAGTCCAGGTATTTTTTTTAGGGGTTAAAATATGCACATAGCTAAAGGGGAGCTTATTTATTTTTTTTAAGAGTTTATTTATTTATTTCTGTATTTGTGTATTTATTTATTTGACAGAGAGAGAGAGACAGCGAGAGTGGGAACACAAGCAGGGGGAGTGGGAGAGGGAGAAGCAGGCTTCCCCGCTGAGCAGGGAGCCCGATGCGGGGCTCGATCCCAAGACCCTGGGATCATGACCTGAACCAAAGGCAGATGCTTAACGACTGAGCCACCCAGGCGCCCCCAAAGGAGAGCTTATTTATCTAATTATTTAGTCTTTGACTTTGGTTATTATTTTTTTTTTTTAAAGATTTTATTTATTTATCTGAGAGAGAGAATGGGAGACAGCATGAGAGGGGGAGGATCAGAGGGAGAAGCAGACTCCCCGCTGAGCAGGGAGCCCGATGTGGGACTTGATCCCAGGACTCTAGGATCATGACCTGAGCCGAAGGCAGTTGCTTAACCAACTGAGCCACCCAGGCGCCCCTGACTTTGGTTATTAACATGAGACAATAGTCCAGCCTCATTACCCTTCAGGTGATCAGTGCTGGGACCAATTTTATTTAACATTTTTTTTCTT